CGAGGTGCTAATTCCAGACGGAGCCGTTGCAGGAGCTCAACTTGATTTCAAGAGCCCTGATGGAGTGTGGATGAAGGTGCCGTGAGTTCGATGCTGCTATCCTGATCAGCCCTCCAACCTCCTGTGCACATGGGGCGAAGGCAACGGTACCAGAAGGGTATAACCCTGGCGACAAGTGTTGCTTGCAAGCTTGTTGGCTTTTCGCTTGGCTCTGCGATGTGTGGATGCTAAACTGCGCCAGGATATCCGTACTGGTTCCAGAGGAAGCCCCGAAGAAGGAGACCCAGTCACATGTGCCGAAGCCAGCAGCGACGAGCAGTTGCCAGGAGAAGAAGTTCAAGTCTCTGCACCAGGAAACGTTCGGAGCCAGCAGAGTATGCTATGTTTGTTGGGCACGGAAAGAGGCCTTCCAGTACATGGACAAGAAGTTTACCGGCTATATCACGGATCACAGCCTGTTCGCTGAGGTAAGACACCCGCCATAGTCAAGCTCGCATTAGAAGCGCTGTGCAGCTGTCACCAGCAAAGGTTGCCAAAGACCTTCTCGGCCTTGAAGGCACCACTGAGGAGGCGGGGGGGAAAGGGTGCCTACAACAACGTGTTGTTTCGTCAAGCTTCGTGCGCTTGGCTTCGTGCATGTCATGCTCAGATTTGGAGCACCCTCGACCAGGACAGTCCTGCTGTGCTTTTCGCTTTGCTGGGAGTCTGTGAGGTCTTGGATACACGGCTCCCTAGATCCATGTCGGAAGGATGGCAACGGGCAGGTGAACTGGCCAGAGTTTGTGGAGTGGGCGGAGGCCCCCTGCCATCAGGGTCCGCTCCACGGCGCGACATGCCGGCGTGGCAGCGGGGATCAAAACATACTCATGGTTCGCTCAAGCTCGAGCTCCTTTCGAACAGCTCTCACAGGCGAATCACGTGGAGCTGGAGCTAGGCCAGGGCGCCAGGGCGGTAGTGGGACGAGGAGTTCGAGCCCATCGCAGCCTGATGCAGGTGCTCCAGGTTTGGGTGCCGACGGTGCCGTGGCGTTCCCTCCCCTCTGGACGCTCAGCTTAGAGTTTCCAGGGATTTTCTGAGCGCAGAGACCGCTTCTGAGCCTCTCGTCTGAGAGCTGGCAGAAGTTCAGGCAGGGACCAAAAGACGATCCATCCTTCGTCGGGCCTGGGCCCCTTTTTCGCCTCTGGATGCGACGGAGCAGAGCTCTCTTTCTCGATTGGATGAGGCAGTATGACGTCGAAGACGATGACCATTTCAAGGAGCTCATTGAGCTGGTGCGAAAGTGATGCCCCAAGACCTATGCGCCTTCCACATTGCTCATAGACCCTGCTTGCCATTACATGATCTTAGGACCTACAAGAAGGTCTGGACAAGAGATCGTAAGAAGACGGGGTCGGACAAAGTTCCGTCGAGCTTTGAGCTTGTGAAGGCCTTGCTTTGCCGAGCAGGGCTTGCCTGGATCTTGTTTGTGACACTCGGAGAGGCAAAACGCTGCGAGAACTTGAAAGACTGGTTCGGCCCTTGGGGCTGTTGGCCGTCATGACTTCATCGAAGGCCGAAGAGAATGACCCGATATGACTCGATATCTTTCCTTGCCCGAGGAAGCGCTACTACTTTCGCCGGCACCAGTCTGGAGCTCGGCATTCCTAGGGAAGCTTTTTGTTTGATTCTGAGATGACAGCCCAGGATCGCCCATGCCTGCAGCCACAAGACTGGCTTCATGAAGAGACCAGTCCTGACAAGTGAGGCATGATGGTTTCCATCTAGCCCTCAAGCAAAACATGCTAATCATCTCCTTGGCCAGGCGAAGAAGTTATCCAAGCGGCAAGGGCTGCGAGGTCACTGCAACGAGCAGTGGTCCTAGCTGAGCCCAGTCTCCTGGCACGGTCTCAGCGCGAGCATTCACTAAGGTGGTTCCTTTTCCACGGAACCAGTCCTGAAGCTGCAAAGTCCATCCTCTCCGGATGTGCGCCCCGCAATGTCTTGCTTGTAACTCGAAGTAGCAGAGAAGCGGAATCTTGGATGAAGAGAGCAAACAGAGAGTGGACCTGTGGTCTCCAGAAGCGACTCAACCAAAACAGCCTTGTCCTTTCAGCTGGCGATTTCACCATCAGCCTGGCCGGGTCGGCGAGGGCCCCGGTGCTAGTGCAGCTTCTTGAGATTTTTCACTTTCCGTGCAGCCTCTGTCTGCACAAAGCAGCCATCGACTAAGCGATCCAAGGCAACTGGCACGCTCTATGGTCCGAGACTCGAGTGCCTTTTGCCGATGGTGAGTCGCAGGAGGGATCAGTCGCTTCACAGGAAAGACCGGCTTCTATTTCTCTTTGCAGTATCGTCCCACTCGTCCCTTGCCGAGGCAGAGGCACGTACTTTGCAGAGTCCATCACGAAGGCGCTTCGTACACGAGGATCCAGAGTATGGGATTTCACACTCGCAACGTTTTCCGAGTAGTTCTCGGGACAGCAAGTCGGAGTGGGCCCCAGGCCGATGAATATGCGAAAGAAGATGATGACGGCCTTTGCTGCGTGTTGGTGTGTGGGCGGCTAAGATGTGGACGTGCGAGGGCCAAATGCAGTTGACACATGGACATCGTCGGACGTCGGTCGACCCTACTACAAAGTATTGAAACTCGGACACCAGAGGCAGAAGGTGTGGAGCCCACAAGTCCCACTGACGCCGCAGAGATTTGGCCAATCTCTTTGCTGGGACCCTCCTGGATCCTCGGGGCGAGGGGGGGGAAGGGGCCATTTTCGTACATGGAGAAGAATAGGTTGGTGTTGGTCCAGCAAGCATGGTCAGATGTGAGAGACATAGCAGCCTAGCATAAATGAGACCGCCTGCAAGAGCATCTCTATGCGGCGCATGCAAGTCTCACTGTGGCACCGTTTGCCTTTGCTGCTGAGGCCGAGTGGCTGCAGGGCATGTCCTTTACAACGATGAGGCTCCAGCTTCGGTGGCTTGCTGCATCGATTTGCGAGGGGTCTGCTTGGAGTCACGGGCAGGTCACCCCAGATGCTGACAAGCGAGTGCCAAAGCTTTTTCCACGGCTGTTGTGTCACCTTTTTCACCTGTGGGCGTGCAGGAAAGCAGAAGAACAGTTGTCATGCAATCTGTTGTCTGCCAAGGCTGCAGCAGAGCTGCATCTCTGGAGAAACCCATAGCATTCTTGGCGACCGCGAGAAGTGCCGAGGCACCTTCAAGGACAGGGACTTCCGATGCCGCCGCGTGTTGGCGTTGACAATTCTCACACGTCTGGCGTGCATGGGCATTTCTCCCGACCGATTTTCCGAGGAGTTCGTTATCTTCGATGCAGATCAAGCTTCCTGCTCAGTGGTGTCATTGAAGTTGGTCATAGCAGTCTAAAGCCGGCTCATGTCATGGGCAGTCAAGGTCTATGTCGAGTACGCCTTGTTCTACCGACGGAAGTACCATTGAGGCATGAGTCGGTGGAGGTCCCACTCCCTGAAGGGGCGTGAACCTCCGAAGAGGGCGTGGCTTTGTACATTGTATGGTCTGTATACCCAAGAGATGCAATCCGCAGCCTCCCTTGTTTCCTGATTGTTTCTGTTTCCTTGTCCTGACACGTTTGGGCTGCCATGCGTCGTGGAGAGGCCTGGTAATCGGCCTACAAGTACTGAAGCGGTTACTAGAATCGTTCACGACTTGCGATCTTCCTCAGTTGATGACCAATGTTGGGACCATGGCCATGCCCCACTCGAGGAGTGTGACCGCCTACGTTAGCAGAATTGCTCGTGGTGTTCACTCCCGTTCCGTTTGACCACGAGCATGTGGCTTGGGCAAGACTGCCCTGAGCAAAGCCGCTCCGAGTTTTGCAGTCTGCCCGTGCTGGCATGTGATGCAACCTCGTGCTCCGTCCGTCGTGCACTGTGGAGGAAGAGTCCTGCCCCAACTTTGTTGCCTGTAGGCGACGATGATATCCTGTGGAAAGGCTGCTTGCGTTGCTGCCTGTGAGCCTGATCTGAGGTGATCCTATTGGGCTGGGTTGGATGTTCTTGCACACTGGCCGCGGTCTCAGGTCGCAGACATCCGCAGGCATCCATAGTCAGGCAGCCGTGGAATCAGCCTGGACCAGCTGCGACACACAGCCCTCACCGGAAGATCTTGTATGCCGGCCTTGTACCCGAAACCGAACGCCCCCAAAAGCAATGACCCGGAGCCCCATCTAAAGTCACTTTGAGGTCTTCCTCTGGCCGAGATGCTTCGAAACGTTTCACCTTTGATTGCAAACGCAGCCCGTGTACAGTGCCAGCGTGAGGCCGCACTTGCAGCTCAAAAAAGTGCTTCGGGTTCTTTGGGGTTTAAGGATGTATGGGTTCGGGGTTTGGGGTTCTGTACTGAAGGGTTTAGGGTTTAGGGCTACAAGGTTTGAGCTTTTACGGTTGAAGGGCTTTCGGGTTGAACGGTCTGTCGGCTTTGGAGTTGGATGTTGAACTGAATTGGGTGCTGCGCCACCTCGCCATGAAGCTGCGCCAGGTGGCCAACAGGGAGGGTAGCAAGCTTGAGGAGAACATGACGATCTCAAGCGCATACTCATATCTTTGGAAGGTTCCTTCCCTTTGACGGGTTGCCATTCCGGAGTTGGGGAACTTTCAGCAACATGGTAACATGGCCAATGGAGCAATGGGCTTGGACAGAAGTTGTATCTAGGAGGATTCGAAAGCTCCTCTTACACCTACACACTGTTTTAAGCGTCATCCACATCTTCAACTAGTAACTAGTACCCACATCTGATGATGCGAAATGCGCTTTGGTGGCCATGTTTCCAGGCTCGTGCTCCGTGTGCTCATGCTTGCACCTGGCTCGCGACCGTCGGAACACGCACGGAGGTCCCGGGAGAAAGGTGCCCTGGTGTGTGGTGCCCTCACACCGTGTTGGAACCTTCTCCCTGGGTGTGAGCCTCAGGATGCAATCATGCATGCTGCTTAAGCTCACGCGTTTTGGATCATGTTCGATGCCAGCTCTGCGATGCATGGTTTCCAGGCATGGGAGTCAATGAAGCTTTGGCCATCATCCAGAAGATGGGAAGTCCGTGCCCTACGTTTTCGCGAGTTTTCGAAAGTCTACCTCTACATACCCCGAACCCGCCACTCGCAGGTGGTGTGGCAATCCTTTCTGGATGTGAAGATTGATATTGAGCATGTATCCCCAACACTTGTCTCTGCTGCAAGAAATCCGGCTGCTCACTCTCTCGACTTTGGCCTGTCTTTATCTCCTTCGCTGTTTGAGACATCTTGTTCTCTGCGACGGCCTGTCCGATGGACAGGCCAAGACTGTACGCCTCGGACAACAGCCCAAAGTCGCATGATACGAAATCCGTCCTCGTCGCATGTCACGTTTGCCGGGAGTCTGCTGCAGAGGTGGATGATAGGGAGAAGGACTGACAACCACTGTGTGATTTGGCTATCCTGCTTGGTTTCCCGCCTTCTCATGCGTGTCCCTTCGATCACTGGTCGCCCTTTTCCGGCTTGTCTGTCCTCCGCAGAGACAAACTGGAAGCTCGTGGTCAATTTGACATCAGTCGGAACCAGACACCTTTCAGATCTTCAGTGCAATGGCCCGGGGCACTCGACGGTCTGTCGGCTCGGTCAGCTGTCCATCGTTTCGCAGGCATGATGCTCTGAAGCAAGTCTGCGAGCGTCCTCAGTGAACTCTTCCCTAACGCGTAAGGCATCACTTGTCGTCGTGCAGCACCTGTGTGAAAGTAAAGCAAGTATCTGCTGGGCATTGTTTGGCCATCAGGTCTGGACCATGCGGAGCTCAGCTTCCACGAGCAGTGAGCTCACCTTCCCAAGACGGTGACAACAATGATAATAGCAAAAGTAGGAAACCTAATCAGAATAAGCATGAGTCAAGCGATTAACCAAGAACCATAACATCAATATCACTAGCAGTAATAACCATAAGAACAGGAACAACAAACAACATACCAGCATCAATAGTCGCAGAAGTCACACAAGACTAGTCGAAGAGAGTCAAGAGGTGGCTTCACCTTCGGACCTTGGAAGGTCCTGTCCTTTCGATGCAGACCTGACCGTGCGCTTGCCATCCTGGGGGCCCGGGGCCCGAGCCTGTTACTGTTGGGGTTCCTCACCGCCTCACCCCTCGTCTTATGGAAAGATGGTGCCCATTTCCGCAAGGATCCAGCTGTGCTTTGATGCTTACCAGCAGGAGTGTTGCTGAAAGGGTTTTCGCCTGCTTGCAGCTGCAATCTCACGCTTGCCGAAAAGCTGCCCTCCTCCTTGATCCACGGTCTTTCCAGGACCTCCGGGTCATCACCGTGCGCCTGCAGGCCGAGTGCCAGCAGAGCCAGAGAGAGAGAGAGCTTTCGCGCAAGTTGGGGCGCTCAGGGCGACGCGACGGAGGCCAAAAGCGGGAGGCCAGGAGCCGCCGGGGCCGCCGCCGGGGCCAGCGGCCCGGAAGTTCCGGAGGCGCCGGGCACAGGGCAGAGGGCTCAGAGCTGAGACTTCTGAGACGGCGCCCCCTTCTGCAGGGGAGCCTGCTTCCCAGCCTGGTCTACGGCGGCCGCGAGTTTGCGGCCGCGGGGCTGGCGCCAAGCCTCCGCGAGGTGGGAAAGAGATCGAGAGATCGAGAGGGGACTCGGACGTCTCGCTTTTCCTTGCGCCAGATCTACCAGATGTTCGGCCCCACGTGGTGCCCGGCCTGAGGTTCAGAACCGTTCCATGCCGGTTAGAGAAGTTCGGCTGTGAGGATCGGTGACTTCAGACAGCAGCCTGAACCCCTCTACCTGCCGTGGCCTCAAGATCTCCGAAGTCTCGCTACGACTGATGGTCACCAGCTAATGGTCACCAGCTAAGGCTTCAGTATCCTGGACTGGCCTTTGAATTTCCACTGCCCCAGGACTTACATCGAAGCCTTCTCTGCACCTCTCCTCCATTCGCAATGCCGCAATGCTCTTCCCAGGATCTCTTCGAAGCTTTGGCAGCCTCCAACTTAGCCACTGCGGAGTGATGGGCTTCGGGCGCTGTTTTGGAGAATTGGAAAGGGTCCTCAGAGCCAAGCTCCACACAGAACCCGGAAAAAACCTCTCCCGAAGCTCATCCCGTGCTGATGTCAGGCAGCTCAGACAGTGAGTGCTCTCTGTAGCCATTTGGTTGTGATGTGAGTAACAATGGGTCATCACATGTCGTCTCCGACCTTGTAGTCAGAACATGTCAGGACAACAGCTGGTAGTGTCCATAAATACAGCACACGAACTCGTGACAGACAGAGCATACGATGAGCAATCACGTGATCTGGCTTGACAGCTTAGGCAAGAACCCGTAAGACCAGTCAATAATCCTAGCATCAACTGGTCAGTTTTATGAGCGTCCCTGGCTCTTGCAAATCCTCTATGCCTTGCCATGCCTGCTCGCCAGCAGTTGTGCCATGTGGTGGAGCTACTGCAGTGCGCTTTGCTACCCTGCCTCAGCAGCGGCTTGGACTTGAAGAAGTGTGGGGCCTAGGGCCCTGCTGCCATCCACACTTTTCTCAAGGCCGATCGCTCGCGGCGATGGAGGGCATCTGCAAGGAGTTGCGCAAGACCATCGTCGCAGGCAGCCTAGAACGGAGCAAAGGCGCCGTCCCGTCGGGGTCTCGTGCCAGGTGAGCTCTGGGCCCGATGCTTTAGCTTAGCGTTGCCCGACTTCGCCTGCCCCTCAAACCTTGCGACGCCTTGCGATCAAGAGCGGCAAGGCAGTAGAAGTGGAAGCGCATGAGGAGCTTTCTCCGACTTGCCTCACAGTCCTGAACTGCGAAGGCTGGGCAAACCCGGTTAGCCGGGTTCCTGTTGTGGAAGTAGGATACGGTTGCTTGCTTCATCTTGCCTTGTCGTCTTTAATTGTAAGGAGATGGCCGCGGCCGTGGCGAGCTCAAGCACATCCTCGGCACTCTTGCAGCAGTGCCTCGGGCCGAACTCTCCACAAACATTTTTGAGATGGCCACTTGTCACTGGCGTGTTTGCACCGGCAGTCCGAGCTGCTTGTGCAACTGCTGTGGGATGGGGTGTTGAGTGTTGTGCTGTTCACAGTCAAGCCCAGAAGAGCTTGGGAGAAGCCAGCAGGATGCTGGCTTGCATTGTCAAGTTTCTCTCGGACCATAGTGTCAGAATTCGCATTCATAACGGCCCAGAGCCGCTGGGAAATGTGATGCGGTGATGCGAGCCGAGGTGAGGAGCCATGCAGTCATCGACTTGAAAGGTGTTCGACTGCCCCTTCCAAGCCCAGCAATGGCAAAGCAGCTCTTGTCCAAGGCCGCCAGTGTCCGGCTTCGACCCGCATTGTGTTCACATGTCACTGGTGACTGTGGTTTCTCTCAGACGACGTGCGGATGCTTGCGCCTGCATATAAGGTGTGCAGCACGAATCTCCGACCTCTGCTTGCAGGTTGAAATGGCCAGAATCAAAGCCTTGAAGCAAATGGAAGAAGCAGGACGCCACACCAGAACTCATTGCAGTTCTAGCTGTTTAGCTCCACTGGTCCTACTTTGCAAGCATTTTTTGCATCGGATTCAGAGTCTGCGTCGATGCATTCATGTTTCAGTTCTTGGAGCTGGCATTGCGCATGACGGTCAAGAAGCCGAAATGGAGGAAGGTTAGCAAGTTCAAGTCTTGTCGAGGTCCTTGCACATTTTACCGGTTTAGCAATGTTGCTGGTGATGTGGATGCTTGAATCTCCGCTTGCCCTCTTTGGTTTTCCGTTTTCAGGTTGAGTCTACGGATTGTGTATCTAGTGCGAACCTTCCGAAATGAAAATGTGCCACGCTTGTTCACCGCTGTCCGCTTCTTCTGTATCTGGTGCAGGAGTTCCTGGACGGGTTTTGATGCGGCATGTCTGTCCATGCCTTAGGGAGCCACAGATGCAACCCCACACACCCACATCCCTCGAGCCCCAAGCCCGAAGTACCCTGTGGTGTCGGAGCACCACCCGAGGCTTCCGTCAGGAGGCCCAGGTGCCTGCCCCATACCGTGGCCTTGACGTCATTTGCCGCGCGAGTGTCCGGATCCTACGTGGTTCTTTTCTGCGAAACTCCATCGTCTTTTGACAGTGCTCTTGCAACCCAAAGGAACCCATACTTTTTGACTTGGAGAAGCCGGATGGTCAGATCCAGTCGCACCCTGGCCTATATCACTCACATACTTCCTGTTTTCCTGTAAGGTCGTGTGGTTGTTGCAGCACGCAAGCATACGCTTTCATTCGAAGGCTGGCTCTCCAGCTGAAGTGGGTGGAGAACGAGGCAGCAGTGTTGCTCGGAATGGCCGTATCTTTGACCTTTTGTTCCTGCGAGGTGCGCCTACGCGTGATGCTGGTGCAGAACGGCATGTGGGCACGACTGCACAAGCTGCTGCAGGGACATGTCGCGCTTGCGTTCGGCAAATTGATCTTCGCATTCGTACATCGTCCGCTCAGGTGGCCTTTTCCTGTGGCATGCTTGCAGTATATTTTCTTGAGCAGTCCGTGGTAGATGACTGCCCACTCCTAGGTTGCTGAGTCAGAAGCCAGAACCTTGGCCGTGGACGTTGTGGCTACGAGCAAAATGCCATTGCTTGCGACGAGGGGTACACAGGCCGGGCGATGCCGGTAGCCTCAGAGCCTCACGTTGCTCAACTCCCCTTCAGCAGGTGAAGCTCGGGGCGGGTTGGTATCCAGCCAGGAGCTGATCTGCGAGTCTTGTTCCTGTCTTCTTTCCCGTCCTTGCTCTCGTCCCTTTCCGCGCAGTCGCTTGCATCTTCGGACCTGCACTGAGACCAGCGGCATCACGGCCGCGATGATGCCGACATCAGATCTGTTTCGGCTCCTGGCAACCGATGGCCTTACCTGCGTCATCGCCGTCTGTGACTACGTCGAGAGACCCTCGGGCTCGAACAGAACCGCCTTCATTGATGCTCGAAGTCCTGTTTCGTGCTTCAAGCTCCTGTAGCTGTCCGAGGCCATGCAGTGAACGCGGGCCTCAGTTGCGTGCTCAGATGTTGCAGCACGGTGGAACTGAGTCCGTCATGTCCTGATGCATGCCCAGCCGGCGACTGCAGGCTACGTGAACTGTCTCTCTTTGCAGTTTCCCTGATGCTTGGAGAGAACGAGCCATCACGAGGTTGTCGAAGAACATCTCATATCATGCATGCGAAGTCAGCCTCCCGTTTGTGTTGAAGCATTCATGTCCTTCTTCTTTCGAGCGTGGCGACTCGTGATATCAGGAAACAGACGCATAATTCACCTAGACAAGAAAGAACATCTTTGGCGCAAAACCCTGCCCAATACCGCAGCGATTGCGAGACTTCTTGGGGAAGCCAGACAAGAAGTTTCGTTTGCAATTCTTGATTTCATCTTTGTATGCGATGGACACAGTACCCGTGAGTCTTTGCAACTGCAGAGCTCGACAAGGTCCACTTGCAGTGTTTCTTCTACTTGCTAGCCAACTAAATCTATTGCAGACCTCACTCTGGAGCATCCCGCCAAGTGGACCTTTCATGGCCAACGTTGCCATGTCCAGGCTCCTAGAGATCGAGGTGCCTTGCGCAGGGAGGACTGCACCTTTCACTTAACGCCATGCGTTAGGAACCGTTAAACGTCACGCCTGGAAGTCTGAGGGGCTTTGAGGGATGCAGCTGGAAGTCTAGAGTCTATCCGCTCGAGGAGGCGGCTTTAGCTTGATAGGTTGCGCGGGTGTCGATGGCACTTATCATGTGACTTCAGTAGCTGCACCGTTGGCGGCAGCGCCCGGAGCAGCTGTAACTTAGCACGCCGGAAACTACTTCAATTAGAGGATCTGTTGCAAACCCGTGCAGGGCACCGCCAGGGATAACAGTGAGCATTGCCGCTCCATTTCCATAAGGTAGGGGACATGGGCTGGGAACCGCCGGCGAGCGAGCAGTGGTAAATTGGAGGCGTACGCGGAGAACACGCTCGCACAGCCCGGTCTCATGAGTCTGTCGCTCAACATGTCTCAGCCCGAAGGCCATGTCAATCAGGGAATCTCTGACAGCCTGCCGATGAAAGATCATCGGCAGCACTGTGGGAAGCGCATCTGCTGTGCAGCAGCCAAAGTGCTGCCAGCGTGTTCAATTCCTCGTCGTGATGGAGTTTGTCAGCATTGCAGGGAGTGCTATCGTGTCGACTTCTAATAAAAACGAGCAATCACTCAACCGATTCTGCCTTCCCTGGTCGGACTTGCGCGTGGCAGGCCACTGATTCTAGTTTGGGAATGTTTCATTTGGTGACAAGCCGACGGCGTTGCACAAGTAAGTGCAGTCCGATGTTTTCTCTTCAGGCCGTTCGGTTTGTGCTTCTACGAATTGAAGCTGCAAGCAAGCATACCACCCCGAACGGGGTGGTCTAGTACCGCTTGCTTAATTCGATTTTCTGATGTCTCTGAGTCATGGCGCTGCGAACCTTGGAGAAGCTACTGGTAATCTGAATATTCTTAGTAGCCATGGGATCTTTCTGCGTGGATTCGCCTTGCTGTCGCAGCAGAGCGTCATCGTGAATTCACCGTCCAGAGAGAGGAAGCCCGGGGTGACTTTTTAAAGTTGAATGACGGCGCCGCTTGGACAAGCTTTTGAACTGAGCCTTCTGTTTATGCACACGGCCAAAGACAACCTCGACAGCGCAAGCAGCGCAAAACTGCGGCATGCTCGCAGTCACCGCTCGTCTACAAGCAAAGCTCTGCTAGCAAGATCTCGCACGAGACTCGGTGCCATTTTGGGGTTCCGCCTCCCGAGGCGAAAGGGGAGCATCCCATGGACCTGGAAGGAAGGCACGAAACCGTCTAACAGCTGGCGGGCGAATGTACAATTTGTTGTGAAGACGGTGCCAGGGCGCCGCTCACAGCGTCCCGACTCTGGGTCTTTGCCGCCACCTCAAGAGGGGACGCCGCGACGACTTCGGTGAGGGAAGTTTTCTTTGTTGAAGGCCTCAGACGCCTCCTTTGAGACTCCCATCTCCGTGGTTCCAGATCTGGTGGAGGTGCCCGGGGAGCAGAGCCACAGGGCCCTTGAAGAAAAGCTGTGCCCTTGCAGGCTGTCTCTGTCCACCCCGGCCTGGGGGTGAAGATGTCGGGGAAGAGGCTGCGCTTTGGGGCGATGCCACAGGCCCATCTTCGCTGAAGCGACCCGATCACCCCGATCACGTTCTCGCATGGGTCCGTGAGGACGTCTTCTCAGACTTCGGCCCGCCTCAGCAGGCGGTTTCGTTTTCAGTCTGCAGCTTCTGAGTGTCGGATCCCAAAGTTTGGAAGGTTTGTGTGAAGGACTTGATCCAGAGTGCTTCTCAGTTTTTGCTAGGCTGCTGGGTCCGAAAACCCCCTCAACTCACCTCCCAAGGCCGCCTCTGGACGCCTTCCGCATCCACTCCCGCACGCCGCCAGCCCCTTTCACCTGCAGACACGAGGCCGAAAGAGAGCATGGACAGCACGAGAACTGCGAGGCTGAGACCGGCGAGCTTGGACTACTACTACAACTACTTCTACCTCGGTCCGGATACCCAGTGTCTGCCGTAGAACCACGCAGAAAGACTGCTGCAGGAATGGACGTGCTCTTCGACGGGTGCCGACCTTGCTGGGAAACGCCGAAACGCCCCCACCTTCCTTGCTGACACCACATGAGGCAGACCCATCTGGTGCAGAAGATCGTGCTCCACACGTCCGGGACCCAAGATGCTCTGAGCTTCAGCGGATGGGATCTGCAGATGCCAGGAATACACCAACTCATGAGCGTTTCTCCCGGTATACGATCCTTGGATGTGGAACTTGGCACGAAGAGGAAATCTCTGCTTCAAGATCAAAAGCCCTCCGAGGCGGTGTTTCTTCCAGTTGCAGATCGAGGACTCCTGCAGCAGGGCCCAGTGCCGCACAGACAGATCTAAGAGTCTCATTTTGTGTCGCCTGCTGCAGGGCTTTAAATGGCCCAAAATGAGCCATGGCAGAGTCAAGACGCGCAAAGTTCGTGGAGCGACAACGTGAGTTTCACCGTGGTTCCAGTTTTTTGGCCAAGGCACCTTGGTCGGTGGTTGATGATGTTGGAGTCTGTTTGATTCGCCCCTGTTTCATTCTGGAAACTGTCCAAGGCACAAGCTCATGAGAGCCACCATCGCCATCACGAGGATGACAAGAAAGGCATCGGAAAGACTATGACGGTGCTGTTCACAATGTTCCTTTGTTGCAGGGGCAGAAAGCCTCAACATGTTGAAAAGTAGGGATCTCTCAACCTGACCTGAGGTTCGGCATGAGCATCTTGACTGACTTGCAGAGCCGCCCTTGGCTTGATCCATGCGTGCGAAGCGAGGCAGCTGGTGGGTTGGCAACGCAATATTTGCTCAACTCCCGCTGCTGGTCTCTCGCCTGCCGGAGTCAGATGCCCTCGGCACGCAGCTATCGATGATGGTGCAAGCAGGTCGGAGTTGGTTATTGACTGAAGCACTGACACAGTGCAGTCCGCATGAGGCAACATCTTCTCCATCAGCTACAAGATCATTGAGCATCACGTGGGGCCGTTGGATGCAGCTCAATCACAACGACGATTCTTGTGCTCTTCCTAGCTTTGAAGTTGCTTCACGGTGCTTCGCTGAAAGGCAAACCTTGTCGTCAACGGCATGCACCAAGCATCCCTTCTTCTTTTGATGTTCCTGGCTCTTTTCTGGGAGCCACGGCAGCAAATCCTCAAGTCCTCTGCCCACAGCTTCTGCGCCAGCTTTGGGTCCGAGGACTCGCAGCTGATGGGTCGGAGCCTGCCTTTGCTGGGATTTTCGATTCTCGCTGGTGGCCTCGGCTGCCTGTCGGATCTGACCTATTGGCACCCGGGCAGCAAGGGATGGGAGCCGAAGATGGCCTTGGTCGGCCCCGGCCCGTTCTCAGGTCGCTGGTGATGCGGCATCCTCCACCGTGTACCAAAGCTGTCGGTGTAGGACCGGCCGGCCGGTGCGGCAGCACGCTTCACATCGCTTCAGAAGTTTTACACCATCTGCTTTGACAGGCATGTCTCTTGGCAACTTCGTGGTTCTTGGCTTGTCCACCGTTCAGGCAAAACACGCATGAGCCTGGTACTGGAGATGCAAACCCGCCACAGTTGTGCCTAGCCGCTTTTCGACAGGTTACGGGACGCAGTGTGGACAACCCCCGCTTTGGAGTGACGAACTTCTTCGTGCTGGCAGCACTGTTTCAGCGACCAGGTGGCACTATGGTTATTGACTCATCAGACTCATGATTGGTGCGCGTTGCCAGTGACGCTGCGTTTCAGTTTTCATCGGATTTCGAGGATGCTTTGGGGTATCGTCACGCTCATCGTCCAGGACAGAGCTTGGGATCGATGTGATCAGTCAGGATGACGAAGTAAAGCATAATACTTAGGCCTCAAAGCTTAGACTTCAAAGTAAAACCTGTAGGCCGCCCAAGCCGAATCAACCCTGGCAGGACAAGCTTGGCCCTGCAGTGGTCTGGGCCGCGGGATTCGTTTCGGAAAGCTTCGGGAAGCGCCTCCTGAACTTAATAAATCCCATGCACGAGAGCCTCAGCAAATCTGGCAAAAGGATCTGCATCTTTTTGTGATTCTCTCAAAAAACTAACCAGATAGTACATATGACGTAGACATCATGCCAGCCTAGACCCCACACAGTGAAACAAGACCGACTGTAGCAGACCCAGCAGGCCAAACCAAATGCATCCAAAACCCCCAAGCCCAGCCCATGTGTCCAACTGCGCGCCACGCTGGCAGGAGCACGGCCGGCACTCCAAAACGCGCACCGCATTGTGGTGGCAACCGAAGATAACCGAAGTTCCACCTCAAAAAGTGCCTGGGGCCTTGTCGGGAGGAGGCAAAAACCCGAGTCGCAGGCCTCGCAGTGTGGCGGGAGGACGATAAACGGAAAATGGCTTCAAAACAGCGGACAACGTGAACTCTGCACGGGGCCGTTGCACGAGCACAATATCTCATGTGTCCAGCGTCCACTTGCAGACTACTGCAGTGAATCCCGAGCAAGCAGTGTGGTTTTTCGGGACTGTTGGCGACTCGAGTGCTCCCAAGACCAAAATGAGCAGGGGACCTTGGCGGGAGCAAGATATCCAACCAAAACACAGCAAAGGACACTGAGGCAGCGATGGATTTTGCAATAAGCTTGTTTTAGGACGCCTAATAACATGTTCTAGCAGGACTTCGGATCTAATCATCTAATCTTGCACCACGGCACAGCAGCCGGGATTGGCCGGACACGCCTCGCAGCAACCAGATCCTGTGTCGGCTTAGCAGTCCTGCAAGTAGCCCCATACCACTCTTAGAGCAGACATGACATAGCACGTATACATGTCAACGTATGCTTATGGAAAGGTCGATGACATGTATGGATGTACAGACAAACATGTCTTCGTCTTGCAAGCACCGAGGAAGGCGGTCGCCTTGCTGCGCGCTGAGCAGGAGGAGGTGCAGGAGGCCCAGCCGGCAGGCGGAGTGACGGACCACCCGGGGCCAAAGTCCTCGGGGCTGCCGCGGAAGAAGAAGCGGCTCGGATAGCTTCGGGTTGTCGGAGTTTGGGGGACCCTAGGCCCGAGAGAAGTGCAAAAGCCTTTTGGCGCGTTTTCGTTGCTTCGGCGAAGAATGTTGCGAGCCGTGCCAAGGATCTTGCTCTTTGAAGCGGTTCCTTGGTCTCTTAGCGGTTTGACTGTCGCGGAAGAAGCTTCAAAAAGGATCGATGTGTCGAGCTGAGGTCAACTTCTGTACATATGCCACAACTTACACCTTGCCTTGTATTTTGCCTTTCGTCGCGGCGGCTTTTCCTGAGACTGGGCGAAAATCAAATTAAAAGCATTTCATGTCCAGTTCTGCTTTTTGCTTTTGCGGCATACTTCGTCATGGCCCCAGGAGAGAAGTCAACAATGCCATCTGCTCCTGAATATGATGATCTTTCAATCCATTGGGGACGTCAGCGGTCGAATGCTGGCTCCGACGTCCAAGCAGCTCGGACGAGTCTAGCAGTGGTTGAAAACATCTGATCGCACAGCATTAGCTCCGCCACAGGAGTGGATCCTTGCAAAAAAAGCTGCCGCTGGTTGGCGGTGTTGTGCTTCCTCTCTGCTTCAGCATTCTCATAGCTACGGCAGTGGAAGCTTCGCTCCATGTAGAATGGTCTACAACCTGCTTGAAGGCTCTCATTACTGTCATGATACTGTCATGGATGCGAGCAGATCGCATCACGTCCACGATTGAGGACACTTCCATTATCTCCGATGTGCTGTCCTACGAGCAGGTCCCCGAAAGAGGGATCCGACCTGCCGCAGCATGATGCCAGCCGTGTCTGCAACAGTAAAGATCAAAAGCTGCATATGCATGCATAGTCCGCAGAGCAGGCAGCATTGGTTCTTCCGCTGATAGTAATGTGCTTCTTCTTCTCCCGCGGCATGCTCGTCTCTGCCGTCTTCCTTCGAGCGAGAGGCAAGTCTCGAGTAAGCTCAGAAGAACTCAGAAGTTCAAAGAGCAATGGGGGATTTAGGGCCGTTTTTGCCAGGCCTCACCAGTAGCCGCGAGGCGGCGGAGCACTTGGCCTCGACCATGGGATTCTGCGGCCAGATGGGCGCACTGTCTGCCAATGTTGGCACCCAAGTGGAATGCTTTGATTTTGGGGCGTCTTTGATTTTGTTGGCTCTGCCAAGTCGAAGCTTCAACATCTTGGGCCTTGCATGCTTCAGGTCATCACCTTCGCAATTGTCAACTATTTCCACTGAGAAGCGATCGCGTTAATGCACCAGCAGCAGTCCAGTCGGGATTTGCCTGGTTCACACATGGCTAGGATGTGTGGAATACCACGGCCACCCGTGATTGCTTGCATTGTTTCCAGAGAAAAGAACAGCCTCTTGCGTGGTTCGGGCTCCGAGCTCTGACGGAACTGCCGGGAAAGTTCAGTGGGCTGTGCAGGTCATGGTTGGGCTGTGCAGAAGACCATGCTCTAGTGCCACAGTAGGACTCGTAAGCACGCAAGAAACTCGCAGTAATGAAGAGTATTGCGAAGAGATTAATTTTAACGCTACGCCGCCCGCCTCGGCTGTGTAGCGGCAGGGCGAGGGGGCAGTCGATGTTTTTTTATGCTAGGGCGGCCTGTCAAACCCCAACCTTTACACGGTTGTTGAGACGAAGTGCGAGGAGAACGGGTACAAGGGGGAAGGAGGGGAGGGGGGAGGGGGGGGGAGGGGGGGGGTGAAACCATAAACCTCTAAAGGGGTAGCTCTAACAGGTACCTACAGCAATGGCTGCATGCTCATACATATACATTCCGCTGCCCATTGGCTCACAGTGGTTTTACCATATTGAGACAAGACAAGCTCTCCTTGCGTAGCAAGACAAAACAACTACTGTCCGTGTGCAGGGCGCTGCCCTTTGATCCTTAGGGAATAAACTGGTCATACACCTCCTTACAAGGAGTATCCCTTGGGGGTGTATCGGCACAGTTTTCTGGTAGCGGAGCCCGGAAAGGGCCGCCCGCCTCACAAAGTCCGCTACAGCGGTCGGCCTCGCCGAACGCTTAACCAAGCGGATAAGAGGCAGCACAATGTCGAGCTCGCATAGCGAAGCCGACGGCAGTTCCCAATCCTCCGGGGGATATGAGAACGAAGAGACCTCCCAAGGTCCAGCTACTTATGTCGCACAGTCATATGCAACATCTGACCGCATGCTTGCATCATTAGGCATAACGCCTAAGATCGCGCCTGCCTATGATGGCACCACTCGTGGTTTGAGTATGAACAGTTGATTGACGACTGGTGCGACATAACAACGCTGGATGACACCAAAAGAGGTCCGTCTCTCAAGACGAGGCTCTCCGGATTGGCCGCAGTACAAAAGGAATCACTCAACCGAGAAAGGCTTGCAGCCCCAGATGGAGTAGATTACTTCAAGAAGAAGATGCGTCCATTTTTCGTGAAAGGAGAACAGTACGTTTTCCTGTGGCGTTTCCTCGGCCTATTCAAGGCATGGAAGGGCAACCAAGACTTTGTGACTTGGATTGCTAAGTTTGAGATCGTGCTACAGCGCGTGAGAAACTCATGGATGGATCTCTTACCAGAGATAGTTCTGGAAGATGCCCATCCGGATTTCATGCAGGCTGTGCAGGCAGATCAAACCTTCATGCGCCTACAGGATGCAACCGAGAGAGACACATACGCCGCACGTTTCTTCGAAACATGGAACAAGGAACGCCTTGATAATCATCGAAGAGCGTTTCCTCTAAATGATAATCTCCTAGCTCTCCTCTTCCTAGTGCAGTCCGACCTAAATGAGATGCAACGTGAGAGGTTGGTAACAGCATTGACCAACCAAGGTTACCGAATTGAGACCTACACGTACCCTATAGTACGGCAGACCATGTTCGATCAGTTCTCAACGACCAGAACTGGTCTGCAGGATCCCAATATTCGGCACACTTCTCACAAGAAGGACCGCCATGGAAGGAGAGATCAACGCCGCAAACGCGGAGGTCGAAACTTCCTCATCCTCGATCAGGGTGAATACGACGGAGTCGATGGATTCTGGCTCCAAGACGAAGACACCCTTGAGGAAGGCTTTCTTGCCGCCGAGGATGAAGAAGCTGTCTTCTGGACAGTTGACGACCATGAGGCCTTCGTTGCAAGGAGATTCAAAAAGGGAAGAAGACCAAGAATGCGTCCCGGATCACCGGGAAGAGCAAAGGGTGGCAAGCGAAAAGGACGTGGCCGTTTTAGGTCATACCGCGGAAAAGGGAGAGCCAACCAGGCAGAACATGATCCAACTGATTCCAGCTATTTCGGTAAAGGTAAAGGAAAAGAAAAAGGAAAAGGTGGAAAAGGCAAAGGAAAAGGAAAGGACAAAGGAGATAAAGGAAGCTCCTTCAAGGGTACAAAATCAAAAGGCAAAGGTAAGGATACAGCTAAGTCTGCCTCCTTACAAGGAGACCAAACTGGATCTCCACAGGCCTATGAAAGTTCCACCGCACCGAGCTGGGATTCATGGTATGAGGACAGTTATTATACTGACTCCAGTTGGAATTATGCCGCTTATGACGATCAAACGTCTTATACATACTATGCATCACAAGCCTCACGAAGAAAGACACGGAAAAAGAAGAGAAGAAATCAAGCAGGATCATCAGGTAGAGGCACAGATCCGAGCGCGCACCAAGAACCCGTGTACAACTCATCAGTGAGTTACGCGCCCCAGGTTTTTGAACCATCCGAGGGGCAAGGTGTGGAGACTGCAACAGCAGTGTTTCCGTTGCAGCACACCGTCCTATCTGCTCTCACAGAGCGGATCAATCTTGATAAGAGCCCTACCTTTGTCATACTTGACTCTGGTTGTACTAGGGCTATGGGTTCCCGCTATGCGGTGAACAGGCTTATCAAGGCCGTGAAGCAACATGCCCCAGGCATGATTGATTTCACTTTTTCACCTTCGAACACGAAGTTCTCTTTCGCAGATAGTGAAACAGCTCTTATCAAGGAGCGTGTAACTCTATGGTTTAACACAACTCCAAGAAGAGATACAACCATAGAAGTTTTGGATCAGGGAAGAGTCCCCATTTTGTTCTCCATTGAACAGATGAGAAATCTAAGAATGACCCTCGAGTGTAGTCCAACAGCTGACCTAGCAACGTGTGAAGCTTTCGGTTTGTATAAAACCCCTCTTCCGATTAGTACCAATAACCATTTGGTATTGGACCTTCTAGGCTTTACTTCCACCAGGAAGTACCTTCCTAAGTCAGGTACATCGTTCCGTGCGACGGAGACTGCTCTAGGAGCCAATAAGCCTTATGTTAGGATACCGGAAGGTCGCTGTCCAGCCTGTGCCGGACAGAAAAAGGCTCACACGTACCTCAAGGGTTGTGACAGAGCACCTGAGGGAGCAGCTGATCCACCACCGAAGAGGATTTCAGGAAAAAGAAGCCTCTTTCATCTGATCCGGCAGAATCATCTGCCAAGAAACTTGATCCACCAGAATCATCTGGAGATGTTCCTGAGCCTTCCGGACCATCGGAACCATCATCAGGCTCTAGGGACAAACCTGCAGAATCCTCTGCACCACATGAACCTCCAGAAGAAGAAAGACTTGAGGTCCCACCTGCGAAGATAAAGACTCCAAAGGGTCTTAAAAACCTTCTGAAGAAATCCCGCAAATATGCGGTTAAATCTCCTGTTGAAGAGAAGTCTAAGGTCCCAGGAGCTGATGACGGGACGGAGGTAAGACCACTTGAGTCAAGAGAATACCCGGCTCCTGGTACAGACTCACCTACAGGTGAAGAGATTGTCGCAGAACCTTCGCCATCTCTTCCCATTGCTCTTCGCAGGATTCATGAGAAGCTTAAGGACCCTGTAGAACTCTATAAGCTTCACCTTAAGCACCGTCATATGAGTACGGATCAGTTCAAGCGACGCACAAAAGCCTTACAGATCCCAAAGGAGATCTACGAGCTATATGACCAACTGGTCAAAAAGTGTTCAGCCTGCCAGGAACATGTGAGAGCTCCTTCGAGAGCGAAGATTTCTGGTCTAAGATCAGAGACTTTCGGTGATCTCACCTTCGTAGATCACGGTGAGCTTCCAATTCCCGGCAAGGATAGTCGCTTAGTATTTCTTATTCTCTATGATGGAGCAACAAACTTGTTGACTGCCGAAGTAGTCCAGGATAAAGAAGAACATACTACAATGTCGATTATGAATGACTACTTTGAGAAATTTCAGATCAACCCAAAGGTTGTAGTTGGAGATCAAGCATTCATGACTCCAAAAATGGAGGCTTATTACAATCGGCAGAATATCAAGCCTGTGGCAACAGGACCTGGAACACCATGGCCCAACAGGGCCGAAGCTGCTGTAAGATTGCTGAAGCATCAGATTAAGCTCATACTTCAGATCCTGAAGGATGGTGACCCGCAGTATAACGGAATCACCATGAAGTATGGCAACCTCGTTCGCCAAGCATGTTTGGCAAGAAACTCTTCGATTACCTACGGAGGAGTTACTCCTTTAGAAATGGCCTTTGGAAGGCGTCCTCGAGATGTTATAACACCAGAGAACGCTGATCCCAATCAGTTGACAGGTAATCCAACTGATACGGAAGTCACTGCGAGAGCCATTAAGGAGCTTGCCAACAGGGCTTACCAAGAGGCACGCCAATCTGATGATCTGCGTAGAGATCTTGCAGCCAGACTGTCAATGACCCAAGGACCTTTCTCTTTGGGAGATAAGGTTTTCTACTGGTCAGAAGATAAGTCTAAGATTGGATCCACTGGGTCCAAACATGGATCTTGGCTAAAAGGAAAGGTGATCTCCGAACTCGGAGGATCCATGGTAGGTGTGGATCTTGGAACACGCATCGTCCGTGTCAATATCTCAAAACTGAGGAAAAACTATGACATAACATCTGATGTGGAGATTCCTCTCGCGCCTGATGAGGAAACTCTGACGTCAGAAGGTTCTGACCACGCAAGTTGCATGGTCACCTTCGATGCTTCCCTGCAGTCGACAGACCTAACGATTCCACATCAAGAGTGTCACTGGCAGGTCACCAGCACTGGGAAGATTGACTTCCTAGAACTCTACGGCGGATCTCCCCGCATGAGTCACAAGGCTGCCCTGTCAGGTCTTCGAGTAGGTCAGCCAGTCGATTTGCGTAGCGGTCTAGATCTTGAGCAACCGCAAGGTCGCTCCAATCTTCTTAGGATCATCAAGGAACAAGAACCTACTATTATTGTTATGTC